GTTGTGACTTAACACTACTAGGCCTTTGAGAAACTTTATTTATTTATTTATTTTCAATTCCTACATCATGTGGGCCTCCTTTATAAGACATTGTATATTTAACCAAATTAATTAACTTGCGTCTAAAAAAAATATTTATTATTACAGTAGTCATGAGCAATCACTAGAATTATAATATCTGATTTTTGCATTAAAAAATAAAAATAAAAATAATAGGATTGAATAAAAGTGGAGAAGTAAAATATACTTCCTAATGCAAATGTGACTCTTCTTAGAAGAGGTCTAAAAATGTGACCAGCATAAAAAGGAAATTAGGAAAAGGGGTTTATTGGAAGATATTTTAAGTTTAGGTTGGGCCGGTTAAATGAATGGGCTTAAAGAAAGTAAGACGGTTATCATATGTAGGACAGTTTTCTGGTACCAACTGAAAGCCCAACTCTAGTCGGCACAATCTGAAAGCAGATTATTTTGTATCTTATACCTTACTTAAAGGGGGTGTTAAGTGGTATTTTTAACAGCTCAGAAGGGTAAAATTTAAGGGGCGCTAAGTGACATTTTTAAGGCGCTAAGTGACATTTTTAAATTAAGGGGTTATCTTAAAAAAAGTTAAACTTAAGAGAGTTAACTGATATTCTTCAACTTAAAGTAAGTAATTAAAAAACCGGCGAAATTTGTGAATATTTTGTTTTTTGGTCTTATGAGAAAACTTCCCCGTGATCCTTCTGGTCATTGGTATTATACTCTCGGGCATAGCCAAGACGCACTCAAATGCACGGCCTAGGGTATTCTAGAAAATTAATTTCATATGGATGCTTCCTAGGAGAGTCGAACATGAGACATTTGAGTACTATTCATATGTAGCTTACCAATTTAGATAGGGGTTGGGACTCCATGTTTTCCACTTATTCTCTTTCTTTTTATCATCTCTCTTTTCTTAACTAGTATCCATGAGCTTATTACTTGTTAGTGAACCCCTGTCTGAAAATATGCAATCATCTGATCCATCCTGATTAAGTGTACATTGTGCTTATGGTAATAATTTCTCCTAATTGTTGATTCTGTTTGCAATGGTTGTGATACTGTAGTAATTTGACTATTGCTTTTTTAATTAGTGGAACTGGACCATATCCATTCCGGTCCGACATTTCTCATCTTTTAATCGACAAATGACCGTCTATCCGTAAAACAAAACAAAAAAATCGACACGTGAAAATTTTGCTGTCACCATCTATCCGTAAAAAAAAAAAAATTGTCCTCTATCCAGCATCTTCTCATCACAACATTAACCAAGTGAAACAATCTAAGCAAGGAATATTGTCAAACTTCCTCCTATAAACTCCTCACGTGAAAATTTTGCTGTCACCATCGCTTGCCAGTGTCCATAAACTAGATACGTAAAGAATGTAGTTAAAAAACGTATGTCATTGGGTAGCCGTATCATACTGTTGAAGCAATCAAGTTGTATCCGGCACTTCAATTCTTCCCTAAATGAGAAGCAACCAATAACCATTAAGCATAGTTAGTTAGCATGATTCTTCAAAATTGGAAATACAATTTAACTGGAAAACAAACAACAAATTAAGCTAGAGTTAAACCATCCCTTTGGCTAAACATAGAATCACTTTGCCTTCGATCTTCAGCTACACAAAAATAGCCATAAAGATTTCAATCATTAGCATTGAAACCTCCATCCTCGGAATCTTTAATTTTTAATCTCCCACATCTTATTGTTAGGTACGTTTAATATCAGTCCCTTAAGTTTTTCATGTTAGATCTGAAACTGAGATCTAATCCATAAAACCATGATTAATTCAAAGAGAATAAGCCCAACAGTGAGCGGAAGCAATACCTGAATCCATGAAGAATTTGCACGGATCTGAATTAGAGTTTGATCTTCTAATATTGAGGGTCTCTCCTTTAGAATCTCTTTAGATGGGAGATTAAGAGAATAGAGAATGTTACCCTAGATTAGGGATCATAACCCCTTATTTATAGTTGTTGTATTTTTATAATTTGGCTCATCATCAAATTATAATTACAACCTGGTATCCGCACATTTAGCTCATGATTTATTTAAATATCCATTAACCCAAATTTATTGATCACTTTATGCGGGTTAACCTTAAGGATAGCATTATACACTAATGTAACATATGCGGGTTAACCTTAAGGATAGCATTATACACTAATGTAACATATATGCCCATAATTAGATTTAATCCAACAATCTCCCACTTGGGCTAATGTAACATATATGCCCATAATTAGATTTAATCCAACAATCTCCCACTTGGGCACTATATGTTTCATAAAAAATGTGTACAACCTTATGAGCTCAGAAATTGCTATCACAAATAAGAGTATTTCCAAAAAAATATCGTCCATTGACAATATCAATATAGGATCAAAGCGGCCTTCGTCACATTTATCGTGACTAAACCCATCAATGGTCACATATACCAATATAATCAAATGGCATAGATCAATTATGGATGTGCAGCATGAAAATTACATGCAATGTGATCAGTACATGTCCATTTTCAACTGGTCCTACCTTAAACTTTAGTGAGGTCAAAACTAAACATAATGAAACAAAGTGTCTTAACTAAATACTTTATTCTGATCAGACAATACAACCAAACACAAAGCACCAAAAAATTACAAACTCTCACTAAATCATGATGTCATCGAATAACACCACACCCATATGAGCAGTATGCTCATGAAAGACCTTAGGTGGCAATCCTTTAGTAAGAGGATCTACAAATCCCAATGTTCTCTATGGATATCTGTCCACTCTGTACCATTTCTTTCACAACCAGAAACTTAATGTCAATATGTTTTGACTTAGTTGAGCTCCTGTTGTTATTGGAATATATAACTGCAGATTTATTATCACAAAATAACCTTAGTGGTCTTTCAGTATTTTCCAAAATGTGCAGTCCAGTGACAAAATTTCGCAACCATATTTCATGATTTGATGCCTCGTAGCAAGCTACAAACTGTGCTGCCATAGTGGAGGAAGCTACGAGTGTTTGTTTAACACTTTTCCATGATATAGCTCCTCCTGCTAACATATAAATATAATCTGATGTAGACTTTCTGCTATCTTGGCATCCAGCAAAATCAGAATCAGAATACCCAATGACCTCCAACTGTTCTGATTTTCTGTATGTGAATATATAATATTTTGTTTTCTGAAGATACCTCATAACCCTTTTGACTGCTATCCAATGATCCATACCAGGGTTGCTTAAGTATATGCCTAACATCCCAACAATGTATGCAATATCCGGACGCATACATACGTGAGCATACATTAGACTTCCTACAGCCGAAGCATAAAGAATCTTCTGCATTTCCTGAATTTTAAGGTTAACTTTAGGGCACTGATTTAGACTAAACTTGTCTCCTTTAGCTGAAAACACCCTAATGCTACTAGGAAAGAACCCTAGAGGGGGGGTGAATAGGGTTTATGCTAATCTAATCTGATTTATGCTAATTTAAAACTTATTAATAAATATATCCTAGCAATGAGATACAACAAGAGATATATGCAAGGATAAAACAAGATATAAATAATATAGTGGATGAAATAAACAATGAGAGAATGGCAATAAAGATAAACACAAATATAAGTGTGCTAAGCCAAACTCAAACAAGCAATATGATCACAGAGTTTGGACCTTCCGTCCTACGTCTCCGCTCTCCACTCCCGGGGAGAAATCCACTATCACACCGGGTTTTTAACGATCACCCGAAAACGTTTACACCTCACATTCGATTTTCTAGCTCACTGAAAACTTTACAATACTCACAATGTAAACACACTAACTACCACATCAAGTGTTAATCTCTAGCCCGTGTCTTCCTCAAGTGTTAGGAATTACAACCTCTCTTTAGACATTATCACCTATCTTACTCCTCTTGGGACGACCCCGTCTCTCACCACACACTCTTCTTGGTGTACTAGTGTAATACAAAGTGAATCCTCACAATATAACAATCGGTTTTCTAGTTCACCGAAAACTTTACAACTTACACACTTGCAATTACACTTCACACCCTCTATTCACCGAAAACTTTACAACTTACACACTTGCAATTACACTTCACACCCTCTAAGTGTTGGCCTAGCCCATGTCACCTTCCTCAAGTACACACTTGCAATTACACTTCACACCCTCTAAGTGTTGGCCTAGCCCATGTCACCTTCCTCAAGTGTTCAGAATTATCACCTCTCACTAGGATTTACTACCAACCCCACTCATCTTGGAACCGACTCCATCTCTCACCAACCACTTCTCTCGATGTCCAAGTGTAATACAATATGTAACTCACAATGAAGCTTGATACAAATATAAATTTGTTCTCTACAATAGATGAGAACACAATTAAGGCTCACACTCAATGTCACAAACCCACAACCCCAAAATATACTATGAATGTAAATACAATAAGCTCAATAGGTTGTGTGTGAACAAAGAGTATCAATAAAACAACTAAACTCAATATTGAAATATAGCTTATGGAAATTAGAATCAAAATAATAAATAGCTAGAATTGAGTTTAAGGAAACTTCTCCATAGATGATAAGAGAGAGGGAGAAAAGTTGAATGCTCAAACACCAATAGATGATCTTCACTTGCCCTTGTGAAATTCTCTTCACAAACCGAAACTAGAAAATTACTTAAAAGCTTTTTAAACAAACTTAAACCAAATTTTAAACCCTTGTTAAACTTTCTTAAAATATTCTCTTGGTTGTTTTTGCTCTGAGATATGAGGGGTATTTATAGAGACCCCAAAACACAAGAAAAACAAAGCAAAAAGACAAAAAATCCAAAACAGGACAAGGCTGGAAAAAACTAGCATTTACAGCATCAGTCGACTGACGG